AATTGTCTAATTGATACATTTACAGGTGAAACTCGAATAATTAGAATATCGTGCAAAGTTCATTTATTTCACTAATGCAACTTAAAAGGTGAAACTAATATATGAGAGAGACTCATTACATGCAAAGCAAGATAATTCAAGCCGTGATTTGTCATAATTGTGATGATTATGGCTTACAGCTCATGAAAACCCCAAGAACCCCAAATCCACAACCTCAAAAAAGTAGATTATTACATGCAATCAATAAAACAAGGATTGTACATAGAACAATATCGGACCTCTGAAAAGTACAAGCATGCATATGTACTCAGTACTTGGTTTGGGCCCCTTTTGCAGCACTTACTGCAATTACTTTTGCACGATATTCTAATTATTCGAGTTTCACCTGTACATTCCTCAACATGGACCTCCAAAGATTGAATGGAGTTCATAGCTATAGCTGTGTTTATATTATTGAACATTTGGTGTGTCCCTTTGTTCCCCCCTCCTGTTTGCTCTTCGTTAGGCCAGTCCCTAATAGTTTCTGTACAGAAATGAAGCTCCTCTAAGGTTTCACTTTATCTCTGTAGAGTAAGAGGAATGATGAATGGAGTTTCCTGAATGAAAACCACATTCACTGTTAGAATTTTGTTCGTTTGAGAAAAAATTTCCATCCTGGTCCTTTGATTGCTTTCATCACTGTGGTCAAAAATGATCATCAGCTTGACCCCATTAACTATTAGAAAATTGACCAAATGTCAATTGTTCTTCAATTCTAACCATGTATAGCCAGGGCTTAAAAATTTGGTTGAGAGTTTGGTTGGCATACCTTAAAAGTACCTGTTTTGGCATTAAATCGGTGGGTAAAGTTCACCCTGAAGAGTGAAACTGCATGTGGATCTTGCCAGGTCTGCAAGTGCCATACTGTCCATGCAGACTGGGTCTCAGAACGTATTATATTGCACATATATCGACCTTTGGCAGGAACTGTGATAGGACTACAGAACATCTCCCCCTCTCATTACCGTAACATAAGCAGAGCACAGAGGTGAACTGGGCAGGACTGATAAAACACTGCTTGAGATAACAGTGAAGAGTGCACAGGACACAGGACAGAACTGGGTTTCTGGCAGGATCAACCTATATTTTTTTGCATTTGTGTATCAGATATAACAAATGCTTGCAATGGTTTATTTATTAGACCAAAAGGGAGCAAATAAGAGAGGTTCCTAGTCGGGGTTCACACACACATGAAATTGGCTTTGGTGAAGAAGTAGTTACCCTGTCTAGTTTTCCTTTAATAGATTATATGGTAATGGTATGGATTCCCTGCGCTATTTTTGTGCTCTGCGGGATCTGGGGCACAGAGTGTAGCTGGCACGAGCTCCCGATTGAATGGCAGCCGCTGTACGGTTCTGGCCGTGGAAAGAACAACGCGGGCCAAGCTCACTCGCTTCGCTGCCGAGCGCGAGGGAGCTAAGGAAGGACTGCGCCTCCAGTCCACTCGCTTCACACGCAGCGCCGTGCCAAGGGCTTAAGTTGGTGCAGATGTCTTGGATGAGGTTAAGGTACATACAGGGAGGAAAATGTACTTAACAAAGTGGTACTGGACGGCGATCAGCGCCTTAACCCTTTAGCCGGATCCGGACAGGGGGAGGGGGCAGGTACAGCTGGCTCTGCCTCCAGATAGGCAGAGCCAGCTGTCAGTCACGCAGCTGGGCAGATCCCGGCACAATTGTCGGGATCCGCTTCAGCTGCGGCATCTCAGTATACCGCGAGCTGTAGCTGGTGGTATACTGAGCCTAGGGTGACGGGAGGACGCTAGTTTGTGTCCTCCCGTTACCCTAAGGAGAACTATGGGGAAAAGCCTTAACTGACAGCCATTTTGGTGTCACCCCTTCTGAAAAGTCATGGACTGAGAGCCCGACAGTTGCAGGAGAGAGGAGGGGACCGGGCAGCATACCTTATCCCGCCAGGTGAACGTCCCCTCTTCTTCCTGCAGGCGTCCATCACCAAGATTCCTGTGCAATCTGAACCCCATTTCCATCCAATATTAGACATGAAGGGTGACACTAGGGTCACTGTCTTCTGTATACACAGTGTAGCGCTCACCCCTGAAGGAGTCGCTGGATTCATCGGGTTCACTAGTCTGTCTAGCTAGGGGTATGATCTTCAGCCGTCCCATTAGCACCGCTCTCTTCTAATGCCCACCGAGCTGACGTCCACTCCAGTAATGCAATGCGGGATAACTTTTATTAAAGATCTTCACTCTGGGGAGAGAGGGTTTAGGAATCCCAGGCATCCAGGGTGTGACACACATAAACTGCAGACTCACCAGGCCTCTTAAGCATCTCAGTGTAGATATACTTGTGGTACAGTGAATGATAATTGGAGTAACAGATGAACAGAGATAAGAGATGAGCTCATCAGTCTTCTGCTTCTCCTTTCACTGTCCAGTCACAGGCTGGAGGAGCGTAGAGATGAGCTCATCAGTCTTCTGCTTCTCCTTTTACTGTCCAGTCACAGGCTGGGGTAGTACAGAGATGAGCTAATCAGTCTTCTGCTTCTCCTTTCACTGTCCAGTCATAGGCTGGGGAAGGCATAGAGATGAGCTCATCAGTCTTCTGCTTCTCCTTTCACTATCCAGTCACAGGCTGGGGAAGCATGAAGATGAGCTCATCTGTCTTCTTCTTCTCCTTTCACTGTCCAGTCACAGGCTGGGGGAGTGGCAAAGAGATAAGCTCATCAGTCTTCTGCTTCTCTTTTCACTGTCCAGTCACAGGCTAGGGGAGGGACAAGACCTGTAGATGCAGAAGAGAGAAATTACCTATCCAGCCAGACAGGGCAGTGCTGTGCAAATGTCAGCACTGGATGGAACACAAATCCTTTTATAATGGCTCCTTTATACATATCCTATCTGTGTATTTGGAGTTCAGCTTTGGAAACGAAGCCGTAATCCCCTCTTTCAGCAGAATTACGGGATGCTTCTAATTCCGTCCATGTTCGGTCCAGCTCCTTTGATGAAGCCATCTTCTCTCGGCTTTATCATAATACTTTCTGATGACAGCGAATGAAAGAATCTGGGGAGATTTCTCCCGTTTTTACAACCGGCGTCCGGGCCAAGCCGAAAGTATTCATTTCCTAAGGAATAGCAGCAGATCCACATGAAAGGACACACGTTGTAGCTGCAGATGAACAATGCTCAGATCTGCCAGGGGAGAGAAAATTGTTTTTGTCTAACGAGCTCGCGGAATGCTTCTGTTTTTACGACCCCTTTGATGTCGGCGTCATATCTAGTGATTGACCCAATGCCTTCGCCTTGGCAGGAACCAGGAATGCCATTAAACAGACAGCTTCTTACATGGGGTTTAGGAAGGATTTTTTATTTTTTCATTCTGCACCTTTTTTCCCACCACATGGCAAAAATGTACGAAGAATCGTTTGGATTAATGAAACAAAGTGTTCATCGTGTAAAAGTGTTGTTACTATCTGTAGCAACAAACCTGGATGTTTCCTTTCTTGCATATAAAAGAAATGAGGGAAACAAAATGCATTGTTCTTTAGATACTGATCATTCTCTGTCATTGTCTCATCTCTTCTCCTCGGTTTTATAAACAATTTGCAGAGCCATTCGCCCTGCGAATCTCTGTGAATGTTTATTCTGTGCGTAGAGAGGCAAAAACAAATGTTCTTAGAATATTTTCTTTTCAAGTTGAATATAATGTAATACAGCACTATGGCCACTGGATGGAGCTGAGGAGCAAAGGAACTAAACGCTTATTTACTGTGCTCCTCAGCGCCATCTAGTGGCCATAAATACTTATTTCATATACCCCACAGGTGCCTCTAGAGCAGCATTTCTCAACCATTTTTCAGTCAGGGCACCCTTTAAAAGTATGCAAAATCTCAAGGCACCCCAGTCTAAAATAAAAAAAGGTGCAGCCCCTCCAAAATTCATACCGAATCCTTATCCAAGAAAGGGGTCTGGTATGGATTTTAAAGGGGGAACTCCATGAGAAAACACCAAAAAATAGGGTTTTCCCTTCATATCAGAGTCCCCTCTTAATATCAGGAGCGCCCCTTCACATCATAGTCCCCCCTTTTACAACATTATTCTCCCTTTTGCAACATCAGAACCCCCTTTACATCGGGAGCCACCGTAAAGTCAGAGTTCTCTTTTTCACAAAAAAGTAACTCCTTCAAATCAGAGTCCTCATTCCCCCCTGCACATCAGAGGATGCATCTGAGAGGTCAGGACTACATCACCAGTGCCTCACTCAACCAGACTAAGGCTACATCACCAGTGCCTCATTCAGCTAGGCCAGGGTAACATCACCAGAGCCTCATTTAACCAGGCCAGGGCTACATCACCAGAGCCTCACTCAACCAAGCCAGGGCTACATCACCAGTGCCTCATTCAATCAGGCCAGGGCTACATCACCAGTGCCTCATTCAATCAGGCCAGGGCTACATCACCAGTGCCTCATTCAACCAGGCCAGGGCTACATCACCAGTGCCTCACTCAACCAGGCCAGGGCTACATCACCAGAGCCTTACTCAACCAGGCCAGGGCTACATCACCAGAGCCTCACTCAACCAGGCCAGGGCTACATCACCAGAGCCTCACTCAACCAGGCCAGGGCTACATCACCAGTGCCTCATTCAACCAGGCCAGGGCTACATCACCAGAGCCTCACTCAACCAGGCCAGGGCTACATCACCAGTGCCTCACTCAACCAGGAAGTGGAAAACCAGTAATTGCAAGTAAAAGCAAAAAAATGTTTAACTGATGAAGGAAAGTTGATTTCATATCAGTAGAGCTGCATGATGGTTAGATTTTTAGTGAAAGGGGGTAGAGGTCCACTTTAAGCAGTGATTTGCTAAAATCCTTATAAGAATATCGAGCTGACATGGAAAAATTAATTTTTTTCCTCGACAAACATTTGAAGTTCTGCGGCTGATTTTGCCACTTTTAATATCTTTATTGATGGTATTAATGAGTTTTTGTGTCTCTCTGGCAGATATTTATTTAACGCTGGATGAACCGATGAACAACATCACCACGTCTTTGGGCCAGACCGCTGAGATGCATTGTAAGGTTTCGGGGAACCCGTCTCCGACCATACGGTGGTTGAAAAATGACGCCCCCGTCGTCCAAGAGCCGCGTCGGATATCGTTTCGGATGACCAATTACGGTTCAAGGCTGCGGATACGGAACCTCGACACCACGGACACCGGGTACTTCCAGTGTGTGGCCACCAACGGACGGAAAACCGTCTCTACAACGGGGGTGCTCTTTGTGAAATTTGGTGAGTTTGATAATCATTGAAAGGAACTTTGTCACCTTTAATAAAAAAATACTCTGCAAAGGAAGACGTCTTGTACTTACCTGTCCTCCCTCCCATTGCTAGGATCTTCGATCTCTTACAGAGCAAAGCCAGCTGAGGATTCTTCACATCCAACACACTTCTGAGAATGATGGGTGCCTGCGTCCCCTGCTGTGTGATGTGGCTCCTTCCCCCGGCCCGCAACGTCTCTACAGCACACAGCAGTCACATAGGGGTTGCGGAGACGGATAGAACGACAGCGCGCAGCAGGGTGGCAGACCTCTGACACAGCTGGGAGTATGTTGGAATTGAAGAGTCTTCAGCTGGCATTGTTCTGATTGAGAGCAAAGATTTCACAAACAGGCAGCAGCACTCGTCCTCAGTACTCCTCCCAAGAGCCCTCACCCCAGAGGAAAGCAAGAGTTAGGAAAATATTATAATGCCTGAATGGGTGGATGTCAGTCTGGAGAAGTAGATGTTCCAAGGCTGGCTGTATTTGCATGCAGTCCAACCTAGGTAATGTCCAGGGGCGTCCCGAGACTGGGTGACACCCGAAGCGGTAACCGAGTGTCACCCCGCCGGGACGTCACTGCGCATG